AGCTAGATTTTAAAAATACCAAGTTTCAACCCGGTTAGGTGAGGTTGAGATTTTTCAAACCGCAAACATTGGATTAGATTGGATTGTTCAAAATGCATTCAACCCAGTCAACCCAACTAATATCCAATCCTACTAAGAGCATCTCCAATAATCTTTCTACATTGACTCTTTAACTGTTGTAGAGAGCCAAATGTTAAAAAACCATACTCTAGTTGACTCCCTATATTAACTTTCTTTAGCTCATTCACTACAAAGAATCTACATTATTTTATTATACACACATCATGTTATTTCTTTGATACAAGAAGTAAATAAAATATTATCAAAATATGTATATTTGTTGATGTGTGAACCTTGATTGTAGTAAAAATACGTTATTTTGCTTGTAACACTAATTTTTATGCATTTTGTTATAAAGAGTAAAGGGTCGTTTACCAAACACTTATTCGGGTAAGTGTTTACTGACAAAATTCAAAATTATTACTTACTTATCGGGTAAAATTTTAATCCATCAAAATGGTATCATATACAACAATTTTATCCGGTAAGCGCTAACTGTAGTAAGGATCGTTGCCCTCACTTACCGGATAAGATTATTGATCCTTGACGTAGCATCCAGTAAGGTAATATGACTTGGTAACTGCTTACCCAGGTAAGCGTTTGGTAAACAGCCTCTAAGCCAAAAAAATTGCTCTAAGAACTAATTTACTGATGAATGCCTATTTTTTTTAAAAGTAACGCCTAATTTATCAGTTACTTTGACAAACATAACTCTTACCACAAGTGATCATAAAGATAGGGGTATTTGGGTTAGATTTGTAATAACATCTTCAACATGTATGTTATATATTTTCTCTTTATTTTTTCTAAATTTAGAGATTTCTTCCTTCTTCTTTTTTAGTTTTTTATTTTAAAGAATAATTCAACATAATTTTTGAAACAAATTTCATCCAAATTTCCAAAAAATTAAAATAACAAAGCCATTGAAGATGGTGATAAATATGAGTGCTCAAAGTACCGACCAATCCCACCAACCCCGCCAACTTAACCAGATAAAACAGCAAAAAAACTCAAACCGAGTTAATTCGACACATAGTTGATACAAAATCAGGTCAACCGCATCTATTTGGTTGAAATTGAGTTAGGATTTTTTGAACCAAACCTAACTCGATGAATCCAATACACTTCTATACTATAGATTTAATATGATTCTTAAGTCCTTGATTAACATATTAACATATATATATATATATAGGGGCCTAATCAAATGAGAACTACATAGTTTGTGGTAACTGTGAGATCCAATATGAGCCAATCATTTTAGATAATTAATGTTATTTACTAAAATAAATCAAAGGATAAATTAGTAAATTGTGTTGATTATTCAACTTACTTTAATTAGTTTAATATTCCAATTTATTTTAATTACTTCAATTAGTTTAGTTATTTTAATATATGTATATATACACACACACACACACGAACACACAGGGACCAAATCCGGCAGCCTTCTCCGGCACCCACCACCACTCTGGTGACCTCCTTCGGTCATCTTGTCTGACCAAGACGTCGTATCAATGATCAACCACTAAACACCCACCTACGACAGTGGTACCACACAGTTGGTACGACAGTGGTACCACACCGTTGGTACGACAGTGGTACCACACCGTTGGTACGACAGTGGTACCACAGTTGGTACGACAGTTGGTATCACAGTGGTCTCAAAGTTTACCTGGTGTGTTTTGGGTATCACCTTGTGTAACTTAGTTTATTTTGGGTATCACATGGTCTTCGTTGGAGGCCGGAGGTAGGAGAGGGAGGGAGGGAGGGAGGGAGAGAGAGAGAGAGAGAGAGAGAGAGAGAGAGAGAGAGAGAGAAATAAGAATTTTAAAATACCTAAAATGTTCTTTAATTATAATTTTAAGTCAAATTACCAAAAATATTAGTTTCCTAATTTATCCATTAATTTATAATTTATGGTTGAGATTAGATCTCACAGTTATCACAAACTAATCAATTCTTCCTTGAATAAACCCCTATATATATATA